AATGGACAAGTAAAGAAATCAGATGTACAAAAGTTAAAGCACATACACTTTTTAAAACTTTATTTTTTTAAAAAAATTGGGGGTTGGTATAATGTGGTAAGAGTATAGGTTCTGAAATTAGGCCACCTGGGTTCAAATTCTGATTTTTGTTTTATACTAACTGAGGGTGACTTTGGACAAGTAATTTCACCTCTGTGTTCTGATTGCATTCAGTTTAGATCTAAGAAGTGGCTCTTATGCTATCGTTAGTAGCCTGGGGCCTGACCACACTTTGAAAACCACTGCTCTACAGCAGGGTTTGTTCATCTTAGCATTATTGACGTTTTGGGCTGGCTAGCTCTTTGTTGTAGTCTCTGCCTGTGCATTCATTATAGGATGTTTAGTAGTAGCATCCCTGGCTGCTATCTACTAGATACCAATAGCACCCATCCAGTTGTTACAACCAGAAATGTTTCACAGGGAGTAAAGTTGCCCTGGTTGAGAACCTCTGCTTTAGAAACTAATTCCAGGTGATCTCATGCTTTACTCTTCTCACATTTTTGTGGGGGAGGGTGATGTGGAGATTGGGTGGTGTTAAAATGGTTTCTTGGAATTAAAAGAGAGGTTACGGCCCTCCAGGTAGAATGTTAGGCCTTAATGCAGTCAGGTGCAATTATATTTAAGTTTTATTGTACTGTTATCCTGAAATATCTTGTAGACATATAATCCAATCAATAAAAATGTGTGTGAAGACAGATGTGTTAATTTCTGAGGTCACTGCAAGGTGAGCAACAGCAAGAATTCATTTAATGATGATACTGATTCTCAACAGAATCAGATGATCTTTATACAGAGGTAGGCAAAAGCAGGTTTACAGTTGTGAGTACACAAAACACAATTTATTTTTGTATTATTATTTGTTATTGTATTTTCCCTATGAACAACTATAAATCTACTTTTGCCCACCCCTGTAAAATGCAGATCGCGTGCCCTCACTCTGCTGCTTACTCCCCATTGCTCTTAGGATCAAGTCCTAACATGGACAATGAGGTTTCGCACAATAATGCTTCCTCTTTAACCTTGTCTTTCACCATTTTGTTCTTTTCCCTGTGCTATCTCTTCCTCCAATGTCTACCCCATCCATACTAAGCTTCTTTTCTTTCCTAGGTTGCATCCCACTCTCACTTCTAAACTGTGCTTGCTGTTTGCATTTCCTACTAGATACCAATAGCAATAAACTATAAACTGTGAGAGCGTGGCCTGTATCTGTCTGTCCTCAGTGATTTATTTCCTTCTAAGTCCTGGCTGAGCTGCTGGCTGTAATCATTGCTGGCTCAGCTGTATTATCTTACTCATGGAAATAATATCTACTATTTTTTGGCCACATCATGTTGACTAGTACACGGTTAGTTCTAATTCAGAGTACATTTAAAATCCAAGTGCATTGAATATCTAACCTAACCGTAGTGTGACTTCTACATTTGTATACATATTTTTGGCTGAATAAAAGGAATCTCAATCTGGCCAGGCTTAAACAAGAGATCTGTCTCACATAACAGGAGACTTCAAGGTTTTTTAAGGTAGTGGCTTAATTTTGGCCTCCAGGACTTAGTTTTTCTAAACCTCTTCTCTGCACTCCACTGCATTGGCCTCATCCGGAGACGGATTCCCTTAATAGCCACAAAGTGACTGCTAGCGGCAATGGAGGCAACATATTTATTCACATCAAGAGGAAATTGGTTGTTCTTTCCCAGAAGTTCAAGTAAGCATTCCCTTGCATCTCTTTGATCCAAATTGTCTTTGCCTTATTAATACATCCCTAAGTCAGTCATTGGTAGAGCAGATCTTAGATTGATCATCTGTGAGTAGAATGGATGCTGAGAAGACACCCAGTGTCCTCCACAATTTCTCTTTTGCCAAAAGGAAAAATTTACAATAATAACCTGCAGGAAATTTCCCATAAGGGAAAATCTTTCCAACTCTTCTGCCTTATGCAGTTTACTACAATTCCCAAGGTGTGGTACTCACAAAAAGAAGCCTAGGAAGTCTTCTGTATAGTTAACCATGGAATCTTTTTTTCCCTTCAGATCCAGACATTTAATGTGGATGCACCATGCCAGACTGTGGAAGATTTAACGAGTGGGGTTGTGATGGCCCAGGTTCTCCAAAAAATGTAAGAATAAACTGCTTTATCTCTTTGTATGTTCTTATACATGGATATGTGGTTAGATTGAAGACATGGACAAAAAAATAAAGTGCTTACATGACATGTGTTGTGCATAATATAAGAACTGTAAGCAGCAGTAATACAGTGGGGCCTTGACTTAACAAGTGTCCCGACTAACCAGTTTTTTGAGATACCAGCTGTCTCTCAGCCGATTTTTTGCATTGAGTTGACAGAGTAATTTGAGTTAACGAGCTCCTTAACGAGCTTGGTCTCAGAACGAATTAAACTCGTAAGTCAAGGCCCCACTGTACTTTTGATGGCATGTACTTGATTGACTGCAAGTTTAATTAGGGCTGTAATAGTTATAATACTCCAGTGGTTTTAGCAGAATTATTTGTTCTTGTGCATAAGCTTGGCAGAAGTTTTTATGTTAGTAACCAGATTTTGCCATCCTAGAAGAATCTTGGAGACTCACTCCTAGCAATAATGCTGAAATGTAACAGTAAGGTCTTCCCTGACCACCCATGTGAAATAAGCAACAAGCATCCCCCTGTGCTCTTATCCCTTTTAACCGTTGCATTGTTCTGCAAAGTATGCTAGCACTACCTGATACGCCATGTATTTGCTTGTTTATTTATTATTTGCTGCACGCGTGCGCGCACACAGACACACACACACACACACACACACACACACACACACACACACTGTGAACTCCACCTAGAGGCAGGGTATTTGTTTTGATGACTGTTGTATCCTCGAACCTAGGGCAATGCCTGGTGTTTGGTTGGGCCATATGAAAATGACCTTTTTCTGTAGATCAAAAATGGTCAAATAGCAGCAATTTCTTATGGTTTAATCTGCATGATGGATGCTCATGTTTACTGAATGACTAAGGGAATGAAATATTTATTTGGGTTATATAAAACATACCTGATTGTTTCCTTCTAAGTACTTTGAAAACATAATTGTTGTAAGGCTGTCTTCAACTTTTGACCTGGGAATTTTCCAAATAAAGGATTACCTGTGAATTTAAGAATTCATTAGGTTTGATGCAATTTGGGGGATACTTGTATCTTCTGAAGCCCTGAGCACTTGTCAGCCTGATGACATGAAAAGGTTTACATATGACTAATGAGGATTTCCTGCATTTCTGTTGAGAACCAGTGTCATCACTAAATGAGTTCTTGCTGTTGCTCACCTTAAAGTGAGCCTTATACAGTTGCCCGAATGAGAAGCAGCTCAAGTGCCTGCATTCAGAGACTCTGTGTGCCTTTAGCATTAGGGACTCATGCTTGAAAACTGTAGTTTGCTATTGCTTTCTTGTGGAACTTACATAGCACATCTTTCCAGCTCTACAGGCACACACACTTTTTGATGGAGCTCAAGAAGGCTCATTTGAGACCTGACCACAGTGATCTTGTGATTATCATGTCACCTCTGAGTGGTGCCCTATTAACTTTTAGCCTTTGAAAGGTCTAGAGAGTTTCATTGAAGTTCTTAATAAAAATTATTTATGGGCATGTGGACATAGCTAAGTGAGCTTTCCATGTATGTGTCAGTAGCTGAATTTTTTGCTTAAGTTAGTTTGGTTAGGATTTCTCTCACTTGAAGAAACCAGAAGAAAGCCTGTATTGATTTAACAAGTGAAGATCATAAGAAACCATTATGTTCTACATGCAATTTAATAATTCCAACATACACTAAGGCATGTGAACAGTCTTTTCTCATTTTTGCACTGCAGTGGTCAATTGGTTAACCCCTTCTTGTCTTTTCCTTCCACCCTTTGACTGTTGTAATTTAATTTAGCACTTCTCAGAATTTTGACAGCTTCTCTTTCACTTGGCAGTATTGCCTTTAAGGTTCTTCCCTGTGTTTTTGTGGCTTGATAGTTCATTTCCTTTTAGCATTTCCCACCCTCTTTTTCTCAAAACTTGATTGAAATTAAATTGACATTCAATAAATCGCACATTTTTAAAGTATAGAATTTGATAGATTTTTACCTTGTAGATGCCCATGAAACTTATCACCACAGTCAAGATAATGATCATATCAGTCACTTTGGAAAGTCTCCTTGCCCTAGACAAGTAGCTCAGTTGGTTAGAGAGTGTCATCCTTATACGCCAAGGTTGCGGGTTCAATCCCTGGTGAGCGTACATACAAGAAGTAACCACTGAATGCATAAATAAGTGGAACAAGAAATCCATGTTTCTCCTTCTCTCTCTTCCTTTCTCTCTCTCTTTCTCCCCCCTTTCTTTCTCTTAAAAAAAATTTTTTTTAATCTCTTCATTCCCTCCTTCCTGTCTTCCCTTCTTATCACTATAGATTCATTTGCAATTTCTAGAAATTTATATCAATGGACAGTATATTTTCTTTTTTGAGGAAAGGGGTGTGGCTTTTTTCGTGCAGCACAATTATTTAGGGATATGTACGTGTTTTTGCCTGTACTTATAATTTGCACATATTCCATTGTATGGCTATTGAATGATCTATTCATCTGCTGATAAACATCTGAGTTATTTTAGTTTTGACTTATTACTGATAAAGCTGCTGTGAACATCAGTGTGCAAATCTTTGTGCAGACATATGCTTCCATTACCCTTGGGTATAGCTAACTTTCCAATAAACATTTAATGACAAGGAACCAAAATATTTTTATGTAATTAAAAGAAAATAGACTTAAGAAACAAAATATCTGTAAAAATACTAAGGTTTGCTAATAAAAATGCCATACTAAGGAATGGAATAAAAATACAGTGTTTGTTTTAGACCCCACCTTAATTTGGGTAAGTTCGATAAGAACATTGCAGTATTTAAATAATTTTAGCAATAGAAATAGAATTTAATTTTTTTGTTTTCTCTGAAGGCATTTGACTGATACATAAGTTACAGCTAAATATGCTGGTACTGGCAAAATCTAAGGAAATGGTTTTGTAAGTTTTGTTTTTCATTTTTTCTTTTTTAGCTGCAGTCAGGACATAGCTATCTTTAGCTCCTTACTCATGAAGAACACTCCCAGTAAGATTATCAGTTGTTATGTCCATATCTGTGCAGAACTACAATCTTTTGAGATTTTGGAGAAAATTACTTTTATGTTGTTTTATCCTAGCCTGAGAGCATCAATTAAGGGCTACTTAGAAAACATTGCTGAAATTGTAACTACTTATCAAAACACAGTTATGGCTAGATTCCTGCATAGTGAGTCAAAGTTTATTACTAAGAAAAGTCATACTGAATATAAGAAAGCTGTAAACTACTGTTCTTGCTATATTCTGTCCAAGTAGTAGATTGGAAACTTATTAAATGAATGTGCTATCACTTTCCAATTGCATTTCAGTCCACAAATATAGAGAACCTGCTATGTGTCGGACAAGAGGTATTGGGTAGTACTGCAGTGAACAAGAACGTAGACAAACATTCTGTGGTCTTCAACAAATAATTTCTTAGAGCATCAGTTTCAGAACCTTTGAAATGAGGATCATGCTGGGCTAAAAAGTTTTGTTCTGTTTTTCTTTCTTTCTAGTGTTGGGAGATTTTCCTAAGAAAAATAGCCATAAGTATATTCAGGTTCTGTCCTTGTTTCAGTTTGTTTGTCCACACCAATGTTATCTTAGATGTTAAGCCTTTTGCAAATAGGAATGGTGTCCAACTTTGTCTAACACCTAGTATTATATCTGAGAAAATAGGTTCTCAGTTTATATTATTTTTAAAAATTGACATTTTAGAGACGGTATTGGTGGCATTTGAAGTATTAAATGATGGCGGTCATTGAAATATTAGTTGAAAATTTTATTTTAACCTTAATAGTATATTTCTTTTGTCTATTTAAAATTACATCTATTTTAAATTTTTAGATATTAGTGTGGTGTCTACAAGTTATGTTAATTCCAAGTTAGTGTATTTAGCTGTAATTTGTTTTTAAACTATAATAACTATGTTATTACTTTTTATCTTTTAGTCTTTATGATAAAATATGTATTTTTTTAATGAGCTGAAAACAGTCAAATTGATTTTAGAGAATTCTATAATTGTATCTGGTCTCATGTACTGAGCTATTCAATGACTGATATGTGGCAAACACATTTTTATGTTGCAATTAAGTGGTGATACGGGATGGGTTTCAATTTTCTTTGTTTTTCTTTTTTGTTTTTTTTTTAGCTTGATAGCTACATGATCTTAATGTGCTAGCTTTTTCTTATTTTTAGAGATCCTGTATATTTTGATGAAAATTGGCTAAACAGAATCAAATCCGAAGTGGGAGATAATTGGAGGCTAAAGGTATTTTCTTTTTTTCTATCTGTAAATTAATCTCTTACTTGGTGTATATAGAATTTGTTTATTTTTGATCAGATGTGTACAGTGAGCTTTAGACACTTAGGTAGTCTTTAGTGAAATAATCTAGATTTGAAGATTGGAGGTAACCTGAAATTGCTCACTAAAATGTAATGGAAAGTAGTAAAGTATAGTGAGCCAGAGTGCCTGTGTCCATATCACAGCTCTGCCATTTACTATCTGTGGGAAAGTCTTTTAACTTTTCTATGCCTCAGTTTCCCCATTTGTAAAATGAGTATTGTGATAGAATCCACTTCATAGAAATAAATAAGTTAATGTATGTAATGTACTTAAGATAGTGCATGGAATATGTAATGGTAATTTCTAGTGTTAATAATGAGAAAATATTAGGAAATATAATTGAAATCAACACATTGATTTTAAAATTTTTATTGACTGATTTTGAGAGAGAGAGAGAAGGAAATATTGATTTCTTGTTCCACTTATTTATGTATCATTGGTTGATTCTTGTATGTGCCCTCACTGGAGATCAAACCTGCAACCTTGGCATTTTGGGGCAATGCTGTAACCCAGTGGTCGCCAACCGTTGCTCTGCGGACCACTGGTGGTCTCTGAGGTCCAAAAGATCGGCGACTGCTGCTCTAACCAACTGAGCTCCCCAGCCAGGGCCAGTGAACACATTGCTTTTTTAAGGCATTCTAATTTAAAATGTTCAAATATGAAAAAAATGAACCTACTAAAATAAAGGAAATAAAGTATCCTATATAATAAAACCCTAATATGCAAATTGACTGAACGGTGGAATGACCGGTCGCTATAACTGCACTGACCACCAGGGGCAGACGCTTAACGCAGGAGCTGCCCCCTGGTGGTCAATGCGCTCCCACAAGGGGAGCGCCGCTCAGCCAGAAGCTGGGCTCATGGCTGGCAAACGCAGCAGCGGCCGTGGCGAGAGCCTCTCCCGCCTCTTCGGCAGAGCTAGGGACCCCTCAACGGACATCCCCCAAGGGGTCCCATATGGCAAGAGGGCGCAGGCCAGGCTGAGTGACTCCTACCCCCCCCTCCAGTGCACAAATGTCATGCACCGGGCCTCTAGTATTATATAGCGGACATCCCCCAAGGGATCCCATATGGCAAGAGGGCGCAAGCCAGGCTGAGTGACTCCTACCCTCCCTCCAGTGCACAAATGTCATGCACCGGGCCTCTAGTATTATATATTTTTCATGTCTCCAGGTTTTTCTAGACGTATAAACATTAGTTTATATGTGAAAAATTTTTTAAATAAAGTTTTCAGGGTTTTTTTGTTTTGTTTTGTTTTTAATTAAAAATGTCTGTGGTTAACCATTGGATCACATTGCCGTGATTCAGCCTCTTTTATTTTATGGTCACAGGTTCTGCTGCCTCCTAGGACATCCTCAACTACTAATATTGGCTAGGAACAGCTAAGTAGATGATCGACAGAATCATATTATATGCACATTTAACTTAACACAAATGCCAACCATATGAATTGGGTAAAAAAAAAAAAAAATAGAGGAAAAAGTAATGGCTTACAATAAATAGTGCAGGTGATTCTGTCATTTCACCCAGAAAACATGGCCATTGGATCTGTTTTCTTGAGTGAGTGAGTGTTGGGAGACATCTGTATGTTGGTCTCTCATCCTTTCTGTTTCTAGGTTGCTTCTTATAGCACAAGTATCTTGCAATGCAGAGTGTTATCCTAGCATTTCAAGATATAACCATATTACTTTTTAACCTTATGGCTCTTAAATATTTGCTTTGGTGCTCAATTGAAGAAACATCAATATTTTCTGACATTTCTGACAGTGGAGGAATTTGGAGATATACATCGTGGGTTACTTTAAGAGATTTCCAAGGGTAGCCCAGCTGGCATGGCTCAGTGGTTGAGCATGAGCCTATGAACCAGGAGGTCATGGTTGGATTCCCAGTCAGGGCACATGCCTGGGTATGGGCTGTATCCCCAATAGGGGGCATGTAGGAGGCAGCGATCAATGATTCTCTCTATTGATTGATGTTTATATCTCTCTCTCCCTCTCCCTTCCTCTCAGAAATCAATAAAAATATATTTTAAAAAAGAAAAGATTTCCAAGGGTAATTTTTACCTAATGCTTTTACTGGTAGAACTTAACCTCCATGTAAGATGCAACTCCATTTTTCTATGGAAAACAGCACTGAACTAAGTCTTCATTAAGGATGGTACATTTTTTCTTTAGCTGCAGAAAATCTGAATAATTTAATCTTACTGTTAAATCTCGCTCACCGTCCAATTTTGGTCATAATATTGAAATTCTAATATTATTGGAAGCTTTAATTTGTTACATAAATATCTTAAATAAATTAGACCATCAAGAGTCCTTTTTTGATGATGATGGTAATTCAAATATGCTATTAAATTTTTTTTATATATTTACTTTATGATTAACTTGTTTGATTAGTTTATTTAGAAATTTTTTGTTAAACTGTATTTTGATTTATCCAGTTGTTTTCTCTCTCTTTAAACAGATAAGCAATCTAAAGAAAATTTTAAAAGGAATCCTGGATTATAATCATGAGGTAAAGACTTTTCTCATTCTGCTTGGAAATATTACTATAGGATAATTTAATTTTATAATAGTTTCAAGTAAAGGAAAAATTGTCTCAGAATTAATAATCAGTTTATCTTCCATAGTTTCTAGAATGTGGTTTAAGCAACCATATTATATGGTTCCTGGATAAATAGTTTTCACTATAATATGAATAATTTGTAGGTAAACACTAATTTATGTTAAATCTTGCTTTCTGCATCTATTTATTCTCTCCTTTCTTCCCTTACTTGTGAATGTGGTTTAGAGTCCATGTATTATTATAATCAACTCCCTTATGTACTTCCACTGCATTCCTTAGCGAAACCCCCTCCCTTGATTAACTCAGTTTATCTTCTCAGTCTGCATCAGAACAGTCAAGACATTGCTGGGGGTGGGGAGTGAAATCAGGCTGTGGAACTAGTTTTACCTTAAATTTGTAGTGGACACAACACAACTTAAAAACCTATGTGATTTCCTTACTGTCCCCCCCCCCCCCC